GGACGGAGTGAGAGAGTAATTGATAGAGAAAAAGTGATTAGAGAATAGAGGAATAGAAATTCGGAGAGGGAAATATAGGTATCACACAGCTGCACGCATTAAACTTTATCGACGAATTTTTGTTATTTCGGCTTACGGAAATCGTCAGATTATATATTTTTCGTTATACTTGATTGATTTCCTTCAAAATAAAAAAAAATTTGCTACGCTCGAGAATGTCGAAATGACGTTATTTTTTACAACTTTGCTGCCCTCCCCTTTCTTTACGTCACTCTCAAATTGTCAGATTACTGGAATATACACTTTTTAGCAGGTAATTAACTCACCCTACCTTAATCTGACGCGCTCGAGAATTTCAGATGATCAATTTTTTACTAATCCTTATATATGGGGCTCATATTTGGTGGAGGTACTTAACCGGGTACAAGGTATCGCCCTGTATATTAATCTGCCGCGCTTTAGTGAATCCCGAAATCCCCTCTTGGGCTCCCCTATTATAAGTCCTAATCTTCTTGCACATAACCTTATGATAGATACATGCAGACTGTAGCGACCTTCGGTTTTCCATATTGAGCCAACAAGTTTCTGACAGCTTTGATGAGATTCCGTTCCTTCTACTTACTCCATGAATTAGGCGAAGGCAGGAGTTTTGAATCTACTGCAGTTTTTTCTTGTTTCTAATTGTGAGGCTTGGTCCATAGAGTACATCTGCATAGTTTAAAGACGATAGAACGAGACTGTCACATGGAGTAATTCTTGGGTTTTTAGAGAGGAATTTTCGATTTTCGTAAATCAGCTCGAGTGAGAGGTAAGCTTTCTGGATTGGTTTATTCACATGGGAATCAAATCGGAGATCACCCTAAGATTTTTTGCTTCCCTCATAATTTCCAATCCATTAGAGCCTATACTGATATTCAGTTGTTGAATTACAATATCTCTTATATTCTTATATCTCTTATATCTCATACTCAAATATGTATGTGTGTACCTACTAATTTATAGTGGCATATATAACATGTGTATGTAAGAATACATTTTATTTGGATATAAAAAAAGTTATATGAAAAATAGGAAAGATTATGCATGTTTGCACTACCCAGGCCCAAATCAACTACTCTTTGGTTTATACCTAAACATTCGGCCTATTTTTCAATCGTCACTATTATGTCAGGTACGAAAAATTTCGTAAACTCGAAATAAGCGTTAGCAATACGTCGCAGACATGCAAATACAAAACCTGGTAATGTTTTTCTAACATTAATCGAGGGAATTGGGTCATCGCTTCACTTTTCGGGCAGTCTAGAATATAGATTGACGAATTAGTTTTATGGCAACCTCAACGGCTAGGCATGTCGAATAATTATCTTAAGAATTTGCTGTAAATATTGAGTATGTATCAACAAAGGAGAACCTTGAATTGTCGTTTGCGTCTCCCGATTTGTTTTCGAGAAACGGTCGTTTGTTATGAATTAGTTTTCACCTTGTACGGTTCAAATGACTGTCAGCACATGTTCCGCCGTCGATTTCGACGAAAACCGTACTCACCAAAATACGAAGAATAATAGTAATAGTGAAGTTTTTTCAGGGATATAACCAACAAATGTCAATTTCGACTAAGATTCTTAGGCGTCTGTTAGAATCCATAAGAGTTACCACACACTTTTTAACACGTCACTTGTATGTATGTTTGTTTGTAAAATACTCATTTGGACTCGATTTTGATTAAATTCAAACGAATAGATCTATTTTAAACTTTGTACACTCATCAAAAATCGGTGGAAATACAATAATTCCATAAGTTTATCTCAGTATCCTGATCAGGATCATCAGGATTAACTACTCACTTGTTCTTACACAAACTATGTGTAAGAACAATTGAGTAAACCACACTGTTTGCGCATACGTATATATTTTATAATAAAACAAGTGGGCTTGGAATAGCAAGGCAAACTGAAGAATGGAAAAGAAATAATACTTTAAACAACTAAAACAACAGTCTTTAACAGCGACACAAACTCAAAAAGTATTTGAAACTAGTTTAATATTGTGTTGATGTAACTAATGACTTTTGATAAGTTTGAAATCAGAATAAATCTATTTACGAAAAAAATTATTCTGTTGTAAAAAATCGTAGGGTGCTAGATATCCTTTGTTATAAATACTTGGTATTGGAGCCACAATAAAAATATAATTTAGAGCATCCCATCCTATTTTAACAACAAAATAATTTTTTTAATATATATAATCTGATTTCAGCCTTATAGAAAGTCAGTTACATCAGGCCATAGAACTTATTATCGATGTTGAACACAACCTTAAATTTGTTTTTTAGTACCTCGGGAGCTGTCTGACTTGTCCATTAAATCCAAGTTTCCAGAAAACATTGCAGTCTCTTGGGCTTATTGCGTTTTTTCTCCCATCTTCTCATGACACCCATTCCATCAGTCTCGTTCCCTGTACTAGTTTGTACAGGTTCCTTGTTGGATGTTCGTCTTATTCTTCTGGACGTAATTTTATACGTCCATATATTGCCTGCCTTCTGTTATTCAGTGCCTCACATTCGCCTAAGATGTGTAGAGGGTTTCTATCCCTTCGTTGCATAATCTGCAGCTGAAGTCTCGGTTATACAACCCCATTTTATGGGGTTATAATGAGGACAATCCGTCAGATCTAGAAATGCCAATGTTCGTGCAGTATTTGGAGGTTACATGGAGTTCTCACAAAGCATAGAGTTTTCAGGAACTCACCTCGATAGTGACATCTATCTAATTTCGAACGTATTTCTGATAAAACATTTTAAACCCCCGGAAATAAGTGGTTTCTATTCCCAGTAGAATCTAAATCCAAACATTTATGTAAATTGGTGATGAATGGCAAAATTTATACCTACAATATCGTTGGTGTTTTTCCTCCACTGATTGGACCAATTATGATAGGTCTTGAGGTCACCTTTCTATAAAAAATTTTTGGACGTTTCCTTTTGGGCCACCTCGTATATCAAGTATTTTACTCCATCATTAAACAAAAAAATATGGAAAAGCAAAAAAAGCAAAAAATCTATAATGTGATACCCTTCATATATAATGCATACACAAACTGTTCTTTCAGATGTAAACTGGAAGAAGAAAAGTCTTTCGAAACAATCACTTTCACATTTACATTGGAATACACGAAAAGACAAAATCCTTTCCAAACAACTATTCACATTATGTTTGTACTTCAATCATTCATTATGGAACTGAGACAGATGGCATTAATAGTACCTAACCCTACAAAATATAATACATGAAAAATCACCAATTTAAATGTCATTTACATTGAACTGTAGCACCCTCAATGGTATACTTCAAAATGTTCGGAACATGACACTTTTTTGTCCAAAAATATTTCCATTGATGATGCCATGATGCCATCATTGAACACATTTTATGTTTAATGATGGCGAAGTAGAAAAACAAAAAGCTTTTTTTCACAATTTGACTATTACATTTGAGACGTATAGCCTCAATCTGCAATTAACCTTGCATAAACCGATACCAGTAGGTAGGTAATTAAATTTCTAAATCCATGGAACAAAGAAAAGGGGCTCCGAATTGGTAGAGTTAAAGGTCAAACCGTTAACGTGACTTCGAATACTACAAATTCTAACGCCTACAGGTGTGTAGCGCCAAGGAAATTACAGCATTTTATTTCCGGTCCAGCAGCCAAGAGAAGGTTTTTTTTTTTAATTCATATCTGTCATCTGCAAGGTGCAATGAAAAAAACTGATGATCAGCGGTGATGTCACGCGTTTGATTAATTGAGAGGTTGATATTGAACAGTTCGGATTCGGATTAAATTATAATATATTTTTGGAATTGGGTTCATATCTGGCTGTCACGTGGTTCACTCTCTCTCTCTCTCTCTCTCTCTCTATTTTGGATGTTTGTTGCTTCCTATCTTCAGGCGCATATGACCAATGCTCATTCTGTTACGTAACTGGCTGTTACATAACAAAAGCTTCGTCGGCGGACAAAGACTCTCTTGCAGCTTGCAAGCCAGTGTCCGGAATGATGTGCTACTACTGAGGTTGGAGATCTACTGTGCTTGGCTGTATAAGTATAGGTAACTTCGTGTTGTCGACTAATTGGACTGGACTGCTTTGGTATGTCACGTGAAGTCACGTGGTTCATTTTACGAATTCTGAGTTTACAGATATGCAGTGCAAGTATTTGAGGATGACAGTGTTCCATGTAAGTGAAATAATACTTACTTCATATACGATATTGTGAATCAATTCTTAACAAATGTTTGGAGTTTCAAAAGTCTTCTTTCTTTCGTGTAGTTCAATGTTTATAAGAAAGTAACTGTTTTGAGAGGGCTTTATTACAGTTTGTGTCTGAAAGTTACTTCTTTGCATAATCTACACATCTTTGTAAATAGTTTATTTTGGAATCGATTGCTTTCTTCTTCTTTTGAAAGATTCCCACTTTTTTTGTATAAAGGTGGATAAGTAAAAAGCCAAAACCTCTCTTTCCCAAAAATTATTCTCTCCTAAAAATATACCCGTTTCAATAAATATCTACTCATTATGATTTTTTTATATCTATTCTACAATATTGATTTTGATCTGATTATTTCATCCGACTCTTATTTCTACAATTATTATTATTTTTATACATTTTGAATCAGTTCGTTATTCTTTTTAGATTTAAGACCGTTCAACATTTCAGTTAATGAAAGTAGAAACTTTTGAGAATTATCAAAAATTTTGAAAATTGTGGTGTTACAGCTATAATATCAAACAAGTATATATGAAACAAAACTTTATGAATATCTATTACATTCAATAGAATTCGATGTTTTTCGAAGATTCCATCGATTGAGAAGGAACAGTAGTAGCTGGAACACTAAACATAGAGCATAAAACGCTGGGAATTGTGGTTTCGAAATCGTAATCGTAGCAACAAAACGCACCTTGTATCTGTAGTGCGGTAGTTGTATGGCAGTTGGTCAATATACGACATTAATTTCGAGGTTGGCACTATTGACAGATGACAGCTGACATCAAAAGATTCATTTTATTTTGATATTTTTGGAGTTGAAGCGTGGTTTTATTAAATAGTTTCAAATTAATAATAATTAAACATAAAACATGGTCAAATTGACGGCCGAGATAATCCTGAATTCAATGCAATACATAAATCCAGTCAAGGATAGAGAACTGGACTTGAGAGGTGAGACATTATATACTCCTAAATAGTGATTTTTTCATGTTTTTATATCAGGTTATAGAATCCCTGAAATTGAAAATTTGGGCGCTACTGGGGACCAGTTCGATACCATAGATTTCTCCGACAATGATATCAGAAAACTTGACGGATTCCCCTACCTGAAGAGATTGAAATGTTTGCTGATGAACAACAATCGAATTGTGTAAGTAATATCGTTAGAATAGATGTGCAGGACTAACATTATTTGAAAATGATTTCTTTCTAGGCGTCTGGGAGAGCACCTCGAAGAATACATTCCTAATTTAGAAACTCTTATCCTAGCCGGAAATCAAATTGAAGAACTGGCAGATATCGAACCGTTAGTTAACCTAGAAAAACTCACTACCTTAAGTTTAATGTTCAACCCTATTGCAGCCAAACAGCATTACAGACTGTATGTTATATACAAATTGCCACAAGTAAAGCTACTGGATTTCCGGAAAATCAAAATGAAGGAACGTGAAGAAGCAAGAACTCTCTTCAAGAGCAAAAAAGGAAAAGAAATTCAGAAAGAAATTGCTAAGAAGGCAAAAACCTTCGTACCTGGTGGCAATATGAACAACCTGGCTAAGAGTAGAGGTGAGTTGTGGTGCTTCAAAGATGTGTCTTGAATAACTGAGTCTTGTTTTTTAGGGTTGACAGAAGAGGAACTTGGGAAGATCAGGGAGGCTATCAATAAAGCCAGTTCCCTAGAAGAGGTGGAAAGACTGCAAAAAATTCTGCAGTCTGGCCAGATACCTGGAAATGAATTCAATAGCAGTGAGTGTTATTTTTGAGTAATTGAATTTTACTGTTTTGGTAATGATTTGCAATTTTTTCATCGTTACTCATTCTTGAATGCCGATCGCAAATCTGAAGTGATAATTCGGTGCAGCTTTTGGAGATATGATCATACAGAAGTCCTAATGTCCAGAGAGAAATTTTTTCAAGAATCTGAATGAAGTAACTGTAATTATGTTATGTATTCAAAAATCTGAATTTTGTCTGGTGAAATGACGTAGAGAACACACCACATAATGCTCTGATCATCATGTATATTTATACAGTGTTCTTCAAAAGTCACATAAGTTTATTTTCACTTCAATTTGAGTTGATGCAATTTTTTTAAATTTTTTTCTCATCATTCTCACTGTTCGTGTTTTCCATATTATTTTTGCAAAATTAATAGAAGCTGCTTAAATTAAAATGAAGGATGTTGGAAAGAACAGTATTCAGTATATATTTCAAGTAATAGTTGCATTCATTGTTTTACATTTCTAGATACTCTTTCTTGGAAAAATTATTGAATATATTTGAAAGCTTAGAGAAAATGCATATTGATTCTGTGATTTTTTCTCTCCCAGGACTTCAAAATGGAACCATGATGGAATACGAATGAAGAACTACCTGTGTGTTTTCGGTAAAGTATCACAAAGAGTATTTATATAAGTTTTCATTGTTGACGTCATTGATTTTGTATATTTAAGCTGATAAGAACATTGTACCACTACTTTTATAAGAAATAAAAATGTATGTGCTACATATTTTTGTAGGTTGAGAAGCGATAATTATTACTATCATAATAAAAACAAGAACAACTATATTGGGTGAAGCGTGTAATTTGGAGACCTTTCTAATATTATTATAAAAAAGAGTAAGACTAGAAGAAATGTTCTAAATGAGTTTTCCTTGGTATTCGTTCGATTTTCCTGTATTTCAGAACAGATTTCCATTCTATGGAAAAAAATAAATACACCTAACGGAATTTGAAATTTTTTGGTTTCCCTGTATGTTTATGGAACTGAAAAAGTTTTAGTTCATTTTTTGATATCATTTGAAAGTATATAATGGGCTTTTGATTTGTATGGAATTGCTCTAAAATATGCTGGGAACTGCAAATGTCCCACACACAACATTGAACATTTGATTATTCGAAAGAGAAAATTAATCACCGCCTATATTTTCCTGAATTATCACCTGAAAACTTTTTCTGTTCCTTCATTTCGAACAAAAATACATTGAAAGAATTTTTCACCACGTCAGGAAGACGCTGTTGAACCTTGCAAAAACACGAAGGCAAATATTTTGAAAAGCAATAAAATAATTGTCTAAAATGATGATTTTTTAATTTTTTTTCAAACTTGTCATTTTCAAATAACTTTAGCCTGCGCCTTTTTAATTTTCAGCTCTATATTGATTGTTATTACAAGGCATAAACGACTCAAACTTCGTGTAAATCTGCTATTTCAAAGGTAACATGGGTTTTAGGAAAAAATATATTTTTCAAATTTTCAAAAAATCTTTCCCCATGGAAATGCATGAAGGATTAGTTCTGGGGAATGTTGACGATGTAAGGACAAACCAAAAAACTACTAGTTGGAAAACGAAATTTGTCTTGAAGAATTGTCTTTCAAATTCGACATAAAAGTTACATCATTTGATTTGATTTTATACACTAAATACCTTATCATCATGATCTTGTTCATCGCTTTCATTCTTTGTTCATAATTCAATAAAGTTTAAATAGTAATGTATGTTTCTTCATTTCCCTCCATTAAACAACCTTCAAATCATCAAATATAAGGGAATCATGATTATTTAATAATTTGTGGTCATGGAACAAATATTAATTTGTAAGATTGGAAAAATGGTGTTCTGTGGTCTTTGAAAACATCCTACGTTTTTTTGAGTTTTTTGAACAGGAGGGATTATTTTTCGAAACGTTAACCACGTGACAAACTTGAGTATGGAAATTTAATTTTTTCCATTGATGATTCATTTTGTAGGCAAAATTTATGAATACGACGATTTCCTGACAACTGACAGATTGTGGGTTGGAAATGAAAAAACCGGGATCTGTACTTTCAAACGGATTTATTGTCTCGAAATCATAATAAATTTAACAAATTAAAATGTCACAACAAAACTCACACATAAACGTTCAGTAACATGGTCAGTAAAAGTAGAAAAATCTAAAATTTAAAATAATTATATATAAAATCAATTCCACAAACCAAACTATAAAGATATTAACCTCATTTATTTTTCATTGATGCAGTGACTTTTGAGATGTCAGTATAAAAATAAAGTTTTTCAGGTTCAACTTCACCATCTTTATGCAAAAAATTGTGGGAACTTCCAAAGGAGAAGTGGAAGTTGAGACGCTTTTCTTCCAAAAACTAATCTTTACTGAAAAATACCTCTTTCAATTTCAATAAAGTTTTTGGTCGAACTTCTTTTGGGTATTTTCAAGTTCCAAAATCTGAAAAACATTGAATTCGAGAATTTGACACGAATATAGAAATCGTAATCTTTTTAGTTCACCGCAATGAGTCGCTACTTAAATTCTGAGTATTTTTTAGGAAGACAAATGATCTAGTTATCAGTATATGTGCAAATTCTCAGCTCATTTTGTGAGCGATAAGCAAATTTAAACTTTTTCAGTTTGTGAAAGGTGAGAATCGTCAAAGAAGTCGATGAAAACTTTAATTTCCCCCACAAAAAATGACTTGTTCGAGAATAAAATTATTGTCTGGTTTGGAGAGATAGAAATTTCAAAATTAACGCATATTTGGTTTCCCTGGAAAGGGTCTCTGCTAGCTAGTAGTTGATTTAATTTAATAAATAAGGAAACAAACCAAATATTTGTGGATAACAATTTTTCGCTGTCCTAATCTTAATTTCAATCAAGGATACGAATCAAGCTAATCTACTGGGACCCAGCAGTAGTTTAGCATATTCGATGTAGCAAACGTCGGCCAGACCATAAAGGAACCAAGCATTGATTTTGACCTTTCATCAGTCAGTTATTCTATGCATCCAAGATAGCTTCCCAAGTAATACAAAGAAGGAAAGATATCCGGATGCGTCATAAGAGCCAGAGTATCGGGTCTGTCTTCTGGACGCGGCTGAAGCATCATGTCAATTATTTCTTGCATTTGTTTACCGTACACTTTAGTGTTGACGGTTTTTTTTCGTCCATTGGCGATGGATAGAACTATGTTCGAAACCTGGAAAGAACACCAAAAGGTATGACATACGAGTACTTTACAAACGCTGCTGGGGAATATGCAAAATATTAAAATGAATGTAAATTGATATACAGTGCGTCACATCGACACCTACCATTAGAAGTGTAAGACAAAGGAGTGAAGTTTTAAAAAATGTTTAGTTTAAAAGTTTCAGATGTCAGTGTCAGTATTCAGAAGTTAAATTATATAGGCTTTCGAATATTCTTCAATATACAGAGTACCCAGTAGAAACGTGGCTTGAAATGTTTGATCCTGAATAAACTTAAAAAAGACTACATGTGTAAAAGAAACTGTCATTTATCTAAGCACTGAAAGCAAGAAATTCATCCACACTGTATATAGAAGCAGTTATCCAACAAAAAACCATATATAAAATAAAAATATAATATTGTATGCTTCAGTGGCTCAGAATCTAAAGCTAAAGATAATGGCAAAAAGTAGATCTAATCAACCGTCTCTGTTTTCAAAGAATACTTATCCAAAACGATATCACATATCAACATTGAACTTCTCCAGCACTTCGTTCTTTCGAAAACGAAATTCCAACGTGAAATAAATAGATTATCAGATATTCACGTGAACAATCCTTTCAAGAATAAGGAAAGAGATATTTTTGTAATGACTTAGGAACAATGAAGACTTATTGAACACAAAAAAAAATTAGGAAGTTCTCTTAGGGAAATAATGTACAACAAAGTTTACATGGTCAACAAGGTTCATTTGGGACTGAAAAATATAGGGTCCAGTGAAATTACATTGTGGAATCTATACGATTTTCGTACATAACGTTTCCTTGGAAAAAAATAAGGAAAATAATGGTTTCAAATATTAAATCTCTCAGGTACTACCTCAATCAAATTTATTTTCATCGATGACAAAAAAAACAATATTTCAAAATTTATTTTGTCTTTTTAAAAAGCATTTTTCACGTGGAAATCAAATTTAAAATAAGATATATAGGGTATTTCATTTGAACACAATTATCGAACAAATTATCATTTTATAATGCAAAACTACATTTTCAAAACATCTCATAACAAAATAGACTTCTCAGATAACTTCTCTTTGAAAATGGAGACGGATAAATAGCGATTCATTTTTCGACGTTTATTTAATAACTTCTGAAGCGCTTGGTATATATCCATACATTCCTTATATTTCTAAAAGTACTTTTCTGTCAGAGTCCGAATATTGAAAGCAATATATGTCTTACCATTTAAAGGAATCAACATTTTTACGGCACGCTACTGGACACCCTGTATATTGGAGAATATTTCAAAAGAGTCCAGTGCATTGATATCTAACAATTTTATATGAAATGATTTTTAATAATTCCACTCCTTCATCCCAGAATTCTGGTGAAAAAGAATGGTTTAATTGAAATTGGAAATAGAGAAAAAAATGTGGTTCAAGATGATTATATTTCAAAGAGACGCTTTAAAGTTTATATTACTTACGGTTCCGTCAAACATTTTCTGCATGGCACACATTTCATAAAGAATGCAACCCAGTGACCAAATGTCAGATTTGCTATTGTAAGGTTTTCCATCGCAAAGTTCCGGAGCTAGATAATTGCAAGTGCCAATAACAGTATTTGCCATTTTTCCACTGAAAACAATGTTCATTGTTATAAAAAAAAAGAAAAAATTTGTCTGTCAGGTGTGGGGTTCGAACCCACGCTCCCTTTCGGGAACCAGAGCTTAAATCTGGCGCCTTAGACCGCTCGGCCAACCTGACTTGTAGAATGTAGTGAGGAAAACATAATTGATTCGTCAAACTTAACACTTATTGTAATTTGATCATTATTCGGCACTTTTCTGCCATCTGTTGATAAATAGACAATAAAGATGCATATTGAAATTCATTTTACACCTCTATTCTAGAAAACTACAGAATGGGCGACATCTAGTTTTGAAAATTGGAAGGTCGAACTCAGGGAAACATTGATTATTGACATACGAGTCACATTCAAATATTGTTTTGATTTATCTATTATAATTTTCATATACGCGAATGTCTACTCCTTATTTCAGCGATCTAATGTGAGAAATATGTCCTGAAAAATGCCATGAATATTATATCCAATAGGAAAAAAATACCCTAGAAACGGAAAACTTGACATCTGAGAAAAAATAGCCATATAACACACTGAAGGTCAATAAACAATAAAAACGAAACACACAACCTAAAAATTCATTCCACTGACATCTCTAATATATATACAAAGATACAAAGTTATTATCATTAGTACAGCACAGCGCTCAGGTGGATGTCTAAGGAAGTAAACACAAAATGGCGGAAAACTGTCAAAATACTCATCTTAGCGTAGTTGTTGTTGTGTCACAGCATACGTAACAGTTGTTACCTATTTCACAGCATAGTTAACATATGCTGTGCCTATGCTGTGTATAACACCAACAGAATATAATCCAGTTTTGCCAAGCTAGAGGGGAATTTTATTCGCAGACATTTTGAGCGCGAGGTTGACTATTTGAAATTCATTTGTTTCGATCGCTTTCAAAATTTATTGTATTCAGAAAATTGTCTACTCACTTTACAAGATTTTTGGAAATACCAAAATCGCCAATTTTGATGACGTCCGCTTTTAGCCCGGTTAAAAAGAGGTTTTCTGTTTTCAAGTCTCTGTGGATGACTTTTCGTCGGTGTATGTGGTCAAGTCCCATTAGGATTTGGCAAAATAAATCCATCACGTGCTAGAAGATAACGGCAATGTTATTATTCATCATTCATTAGCAGCTACTCAAATTTTTGAACATATCATATAACAGTTTGGCTGATAAGTTCGTAGGCTAATATATACTTTTTTTTGATAAAATTTGATTCAATTATTAAATATGATTATTTTCAAAGGCAATACAATAATTATAGCCGTCTTACAACTTTTCGATACCATTTTTTACAGTACGCTTTTTCTTTAACCTCAAAATAGGCCTCAGTTTCGATGATTATGTCTTCATCGGCGCTTAATTTCTTTCCAGCGAGCATTCTCTCGAGGTCTGAGAAGAATAAACATGAAGGGTCAAGAGCTATTGCGCTTGATATTTCTAAGGCCTTTTACCGTGTGTGACATGAGGGTTTGCTGGCCAAACTTTGATGATATGGTATGTGGGGTCATTTTTGTGTGTGACTCTTCAGCTTCCTGAAATAACGTTGCCTGAAAGTGACCGTCGATGGATATATCTCGAATACTTTTATCATCAACGCTGTTGATGGTAATGTTATATCCCTCAAACTAATAACCCGATATCTGTGAAATTTGTACACGTGTATTTTGAAGGTTAGGGTTAGGTAAATATATGGATATAATACGTGTAGCGCCATCTCTGTCGTAGCCTACGAACTCTTCAGCCCACCTAATATACGACTAACTGCTACAACGAATTAATTAAGGAAATTTTACGAAAATCAAAGCGAGATTATAAAGAAAAATTTGGAAACGACTAACTTGAGGTGTGAAATATTTTGGCCTTTCTCTCTCGATAGACTCCTGGAGTGTTCCTTTGCTGGCGTATTCCATAACGATATAAAACAGTCCCTTCTGTATGTAGCTGTCGTAATATTGAATGACGTTGGGATGATTTAGGGATTTCAGGATGACCACCTCATTTTTGGCTGCCTCCAGCTGTTGTCCTTCCAATTCCGTCACAATTTGCTTGACGACGATCTTTTGTTTGTTGTGAATCCTTTCGCATAGTTGGACTGTGCTAGAATATATACAGGATGTTGTGGCACTATTGTTCAACCACTGGTTTATCTAGTTCCTTGAAATTATTATTCAAGGTTGTTTTATTTTCATTTCACGACAAAGATAATCGTGTTTTCTTGCCATATTTTGTTGTCGGGTTAATCTTTTTTTTTTGAATAACAATTTTTTTCTGAAAAAGGGGTAGGTTGGGTAACAGAATCAATTTTCTCTAAAGAAAACAATTGTATTCTTGCCGACGTTTCGAATTTAATTAAACTCTCCATCAGGGCTCTATAACAATTAATTTTCATAAATATACCTTCCACAAAACTTATACGATTATTATCGTTTCAATTTCACAAGAAATAATGAGATATTAATTAAATTACTCACCGAAGTCAAATTAATCAAATCGAAACGATGTCCACTGCTCCTTTTAATGAAGAGTTGTAAATTGATGCAATAAAATTCATTTAGAGTCATTTAATAATTACCATAAAAAGTACACTAAGTCTTCAGTAGATTTTAACTCTCAAACAGCATAACAATGGATTTTAACTGAAAAAACAGGATATACCTGGCATATCCGAATACGGTACGTTTCTCATTGCATGACTTCTTCGTCTTTAGTGGATTGATTCGCAATATTCCGCAGTCCACACTAAAATTCTGCACATTTATTCACTTGGTTAAAAATCAACAGTGACTTAACGTTCAAGAGTAATGTACAGAGGGTTAATATAAACTTGTGCGAGCTAAGAATTAACGAGGTCTTACCTTTTGATACGCGATTTCTAGCACGAAATGTTCTCATTATTGTAAAACAACATTTTATTCTTCAAATAATCTGATATTTTCGAAATGAGTTTTTGAAATACAGTTTATAGAAAATTTCAAACTTTCAATTCACTGTTCATTGGACAGGTGCGTAAATGTGTGAAAGAGAATACTTCAGAGGGCCACATCTCACAGTTGTACATTTGTGAATCAATATGAGTACATTTGAAGTGAGTAATTTCATTAGTATTGATTCTCATCAAGAATTGGCTAATATTTACTTTCAATAGAATGTAAAAAAATAATTTCAGAATTGAACTGTCAAATTCTTCAAACACAACTGAAAAAATATAAATTTCATTTATAATTTCAAGGTAAATATTCGTTTTGGGGACACTCGGCGATTTTGAAAAAAATTTTTAGTGTACTTACGTATTTTGATGCGTAGATTACGAATCCGAAAGAAAAAAGCGGCGCTCTCCCTTATTTATAAAGTTACGGCCCTTCAAAGTTCAGAAAAGGGCAACTTTTCAGCCTTCTTTTTCACAAGATAAACTATTCAAAAACACAGACATTTATTCACTAGGTCACCTTCACACCTTATTCCTCCTTAATTGACACTTTTCAATTCAACAATCAACATTTTTCTTATAAAAAACTTAATTTAAAAACGAATGCAGCATCAGTCGTGCCAACTATGCCATTAACCTTAAAAACGTAAAATACATAGATATACCTATAACCAAAAAGCAGCTCCGTACAGTTTTTAACATTTTTATTGGAAAAATGTTAATTGTTGAAGTGAAAAAAAAGTGCCAAGGAAGGAGAAATACGGTGTAAAGGTAACCTAGTGAATAAATGCTTGTGTTTTTAAATGGTTTATCTTGTGAAAAAGAAGGCTGAAAAGTTGCCCTTTTCTGAACTTTGAAGGGCCCGTAACTTTGTATATAAGGGACAGCGCCGCTTTTTTCTTTCGGATTCGTAATCTACGCATCAAAATACGTAAGTACACTCAAAATTTTTTTCAAAATCTCCGGGTACCCTCAAAACGAATATTTACCGAAAGTAATTAATAAAATGTTTCGAGAAATTCTAGATTTGAAGATATATTTGATCTTATATAGTACTTACCCAAAAGTACCTTTGCCAAGCTGTCTCACTGTATTGTAAAATTCCATCATTTTTATTTTTTCTGTCATAATTTGCGAAAAGTTGGGCAAGTCTTTGGATACAGAATTTCGCATTGCCCATTCAAATTAAAAACAAATGTATTCAAGGATATTTTTTAATGACGATTTCAGTTGTCTCAAATAAAAACAATATTTTAATCTTTAGGACGAGAAAAAAGTGCGGAATCTTTGCATATGGTGAAGTACACTGGTTACAATAAATTAGGTCCATTTCTACCTTGAAAATTATTTCAATTTTTAAAAGTTTGACAATCAATAAAAGTGTGATGATTACAAAAAATGTGGTCTTATTATTGTTAAGTTTTCCCTAAGTATGACGCTGGTAACACAAATTTTCCCGAAAAGTTACTTTGAATACATTGAACTTTTATTCCTATACCTGAAAAAAAAAATAACGAAATACAATCAATATTGAATAAAATTCGTTTCTGTGGTTGAAACGAGCCTTGTTCCTTCTGAAAACTTCAAACTTCCTCAAATATGAAGACTGTAATGGAAAACTTTACACAGGTGTGGAAAGTGCAAACTTTTTAGTCGACTCCGATATGTTACAATGTATTTTTCACACAGTAACTTGTATTTGATAATTTTGCCTACCAGAAAACACTACGAAAATTATACAGTTATCTACTCTAACTTTATTGGAAATTACATGAAGCAAACATTTTCAATGGGATTTAAATGAATATTTTTCATAGGATCACTACACAATATGAACAGTATTGATATAAAATGTTACTTGTATGGAACCCTCTCATCCTCAATGGTGTACTTCGAAGTTACGGGGCAAGGCACCTCATCACCTCATCAGCGTCGTTTTGGATGTCAAGACGAAGCACTCCCTTTTTCATTTTTTGTTTGATTGAGAAATGGAGAGCCAAAAAGTTTTTTCCTTTCCTAAAAAAGGACGTTTTAGAGACCAAAAATCTGCTTCAGTCTTTATAATTGACGACATCAAACGCCAGTTGTAGTTTTTCTTTATTTGATTCAATTCATTAAGAAACTTCTCAAACTTCTTCGAAGAAACTTCAAGACAAGTATGTGTATAATTTTCTCAGCTCTTTTTTGGTAGAGAAATTCATCAAATTCGGGGTGAACTAGATGTTTTCCTTTTCCACACTTGTATAGGAGTTTGCATCTCAAATCATCCGTTCCACGGTTGTACTTCCCCCGACTACAGGGGAGACGTGGACTTTTGAGTTGAAGGTGTCTATACATGACAGAATGGTACTGGATGGAGCCTGTGAAGCCATCAGGAATTAAGATTCCCTTCTCTGAATGGTCCGCGACCATGTCAGAGCAGGAATTGGAGCATTTCTCTAGGGCAGCTACTCAAGTGGGCTGAGGTCGGAAACCGAGGGATTCATCATGGCCTGCCAGTACTTTATTACCTCCTACGGTACTTTTACGGTGTTGACGAGACACTGGTGTTGTCCGACGTTCTGGGGGATATTGAATCCGTTGTGGAAAACGAGAAGTGACGAATTCATTGGAACTATTCGTTCCCCACCCGCAGGCTTATTCCAGGTGATGGGGCTGATGTAGTTCCTCTTGACCATCAGAGCAAGACGATATTTGTCGTGGAGTTTTCAGCTCCTGGTGAGACGAATACCGCCCGGAAAGAGAAAGAAAAACAGAAAAATATCCTTGAAATTCTGAAATTCCTTGCTTCACAATTATGCTACGACCATTTAGGATTGATTCGAACCAGAGTGGTAAAATCCTCCATTACAATTTTTATTTTGTTTCAGATTGTAACAATGCGTTGAATATTCAAACAAGTTTGGCAAGATCGATTTCTAACTATGTCTATTACTGGTGATTTTTTCTAACCATGAGTGGATTTCTGAAATCTTCAACTATGGTTTATCTTGACGGGGAACCTTCTTCTTTACCGATGAATCAGTCTTCTGTTATGGTGAATATCAGCATGCAACTTTGCTCAGAGTGATGTTCAATAAGCCATAAACTTGGCCTGTCTTATCTTCCATCTTGGTGTCTTTTCCGCAATACTGCCAACTGAAAAAAGGAAAAAGGTTCATATCGGGCATAATGAAAGAAAAGAAAATATAGGAGCTATTAGCAAACATCAGCAATGTTGAAACTAGTTCCATTTGTGGCTCATTGTCTTCTCTTGTAGGATAATGTTGATTTCTTTATTGTATATTGGTCAAGTAACAGATTTAATCAGTTTCATTTGAATCAAAATCCAGCGAGGAAAATGAATGAGAAATCAAAGCGCAAAAGGAAGCCCACTAAACAAGTATAAAATTAATCCCACTAGAGTGCTGATAATATTGCTATTTTGAAAATAGCATTAACAAAAATCTTCTTGTTATTTCAGAAAAAGAGATTACACACTACTGATTTAACGAAGCATAATGTCAAACAACGTTGAAAGTTATGTAAAGCTACAAATAGTAGCAAACATTTTCGTTGCACCATTCATGTTAGAAACTGGATCTTATTACACCTAATCCATGTTTATTGACCATTTGTGTATATTTGACAAACCTGAAAAACAAATAATAATTTTTATTTTTTTTTATTTAAAGAACATATCTACTCATTTAGGTATAGCTAATTATTTAGCAATTCGCCATTATTGAGCTAGAGAAAAGTTTATCTTGCAAAGTAACTGTATTTCTTACAAAAATAATTTGCAGTAAATCGACTCTGTTAACGCGTTTAAAAAAGATTCACATCTTTCTATAATTTTTCCTGATGAATAATTCCATAGTTCATTGAAAAAATGTAAACCAAAAGTTTCTATTATTGAATGTTAATTGATAATTGTATCATGGGTAAAATTAAACGTCGGCCCATTAGCTCAGTTGGTTAGAGCGTCGTGCTAATAACGCGAAGGTCGCGGGTTCGATCCCCTCATGGGCCATATTTTTTTCAATTTGTAACATTGATTTGAATACATCATGAAATATATGTCACTATTTTAACGTTTACATAAATTGTCTTTATACTTCCTCACAAGTTCATTTAAATTTTCACTGGTTTAGGATAGTATAGGTAAAATATTATTTTCAGCAATGAAATTGTTGGTCACAGTTTGCTTTTTTTATTAATGCTGATTTTAATTTATAGTTGGTTTGTAGTCCTAATATCTTTATAGGTAGTGGTCTTCATACTATTCATTGACGAATAATTTTTTGCTGCTGTTTACTATAATCCGATATGGTCTAGTGGCTAGGATACCTGGCTTTCACCCAGGAGGCTCGGGTTCGATTCCCGGTATCGGAACTTTTTTTTATTTTTTTTGTTCAATTTTTCACACAACTACCCTCAGAACATCCCTTGTGCAAAGTAATCAATCTCTTGGGATTTTTGCATACTTATCTCTCTATCAGTCTATTATTTTATCTGCCTGTCTGTCCATCAGCTCATCTATCTACCATTTTGTAAGTTCTATTCTCTTCGAGAAAGAGGCAGAAAATATTTAAAATGTAACAGATTCGTGCCAGATTTTGGTTAACTTTTTTAAATCTTCATTAATTTTTTAATATACCTTTCTAATGGGCTTTACCTCTTAAGTCGTTGTAGATATAAACCATTTTAATCATTTTGATATTTGAGATAAAACTGTTAAATATACAGAGTGTTCCATAGAATAAATCCATTTAGGTACCTGAAAGTTTTAACAATTCTTACTACTTTTACTATCAGAAAATATGAATAGATTTATTTGTGAAATTATAAAACAAGAATAAAAATAAAAACAACAATTAAATTATTGGGCGCTCCAGGGCCACTTCATTGATTCCAGTGGCGCATTTGCTTTTTCAGTTGCAGGAAAACTCGGAAAAACCTGCTGCAACACATCATCTGAAGATCTTGATCTAGAATGTCGAAAAATAATAACTTCCCAGAGCATTGGAAATGAATATCACCAAAGTATTCTTGTTCTTTGTAATGGTTTATAGCGGGTTTATGCAGAAATACCTAAGAACTAAACGTAATAACTAGCAACTAAGACTTTATCACATGAATAATATATTCAAGAAAGAGTTTTCTGCTTATGTATATGCTTATGTACATTCCCACAATTATTTCTCATTTGATATTTCATTATATTACTAGTTAGAGTATTAATATCTTGATTGGTAATAGTTTTTTAGTATATAGATATATCAGACATTTCGCAACACTCTCTTATAATCCGGTATGGTCTAGTGGCTAGGATACCTGGCTCTCACCCAGGAGGCTCGGGTTCGATTCCCGGTACCGGAATTTTTTATTTCATCGAAATTATCGGAAATCTGCATCTCTCAATTTTTTATTTGAAACTGAAGCGTGTTTTGTAGAAAAATAAGTTGTCTCCACAATGATATAATATATCCAACATGTGATAACTCCCAGTTGACTTTTACAATTGTGAGTTCCTCACTCGAGAAAACGTACCTGTTTCCATACATGTCTCTGACTGCTAGCTTGTCAAAATAAATTGTAGGCGAAACATCGGTCTGGTTTTTCCTTATTCTCTCCTCCTGTTCTATATCAAAAAAACTTAACCTTGCTTGGATGCTGTCCAAATCCGCTGGCAACGAGTTGTAATCTGCGACGGCCAAACCATTCATCTGAATCCCCAGATTTTGGTCGTTCGGCAATCTGAAAGAAATACATTTTCAATTTGATGAAATCGCCATTATCATTTGTCAGTCATGAAAACTCTCTCATATATAAATATATAATGTGGCCAGACAAGCCTGTCTCTGTGTTTTCTAGAATGATTGGCCTGAGGCCTTTGCTGTAAAAAATTGATACTCAACGAAAACTCCAAATTAAAACAGTTTACAAAACCATGACACGTGTTTCGATAGCGTAACCTCTTCAAGTAGGCTTGTTTATAGGCTTCATGTAGGCTTTTATTCAACGAAACGAGTGTAACGGTTTTTAGGTAATTGCTCCATAAGTGATAATTGGTCAGATATATCCGTTTTATTTATTCGGTAGTGAGCCTCCAAATTGTGTAGTCTGGCTTTGTGTAGAAGTTTTTCCAAGTGAGCGTTCCAGGAGAATCATTATTATCAATCATAATATAGTATGGCAATAGAATTGCCATACCATAGTCTTTTGACAAAGGAAACTATCACGACTTGCTGGTGTTTACAGAGCTCTGCTCTGTCTAACACCAATTGTGAACATTGCTCAATGTTCAAAGGAAGTATACAACAGGCTACCCTTCCCAACTTGGCCACAGAAGGGGGTCTAGCACCCCATTGTTCGTGAACACGGTGTAGACTCGGCAGTAAAGGTCCATTCTCTACCCCAGTATGATGATTGAGTTGTATAACAAAGGTTCTTTCTCATGGTGAAAGGGACTATCACAATTTTGCTGGTGTTTACAGACCTCTGTTCTGTCTAACACCAATTGTGAACATTGCTCAATGTTCAAAGGAAGTATACAACAGGCTACCCTTCCCAACTTGGCAACAAAAGGGGGGCTAGCACCCCAATGTTCGTGAACACGGTGTAGACTCGACAGTAAAGGTCGATTCTCTACCCCAGTATGATGATGGAGTGAAAGGGACTATCACAATTTTGCTGGTGTTTACAGACCTCTGCTCTGTCTGACACCAATTATGAACATTGTCCAATGTTCAAAGGGGGCATTCAACAGGCTACCCTTCCCAACTTGGTCCATGCCAAGATGACAAGGTAGTCTATATAAGTTTGCTTGATATCTTTGATAGACGAGAGGTAGGAGTGGATTCAGAAGGGGGTCAACCCCTAACTCTGTGTGCAACCTTTACTGAACAAGAACTTATTGGTAATCTTCTCATAGTAGTTGTTTTGTCCATGTCCACGGTGTAGATCCAAACAGTAACGGTCGACTATATAGGTACCCTACGATGGTTCTTCTACTTCATTATCCAGTTCTTTTGCCATCACATCCTTGTCTCCATGGTAGATGCTTCTATTTTTGCTTCATTCATGGAATATAAATGTATGATACTTACTCGCAGTTTATTTGAAAAACAACAGGGTTGTTGGAAGGTCTCAATTGCACTTGTAACAGTCCTTTCATGGGCCCGGTTTTAGGCGATAGTTGTATTGAAGCTTGAAGCTGGGTACCTTCGAGGAGAAAAAAAAAGATTATTATTCATTCCCAAGTTTATTGTTAGCTTTTGAAAAATTCTACCAAAAAAATGGATCAAATACAGAAAGAGCGTTTGGAATTGTGTGACTTCTACAAAGATATCACGTATGTATATGAGGTTAGAAACATAACAGGGCTCAAGAGCGACCCTTGTGGTACGCCACATTCCTATAAGTTACTGTAAAATTAGACTTTTTCTTACCACAGTACGGACCACTGTCCTTTGTAGAAAAGAACATGACCCCCTCTCCTTTGGCTTCTTCCCCAAACTTTCCTATGTCATACCTGTATGAGGGGTCCAAGGCGATGGTTTCGTTTTCCTTTCCTATCCTGGGAAAACAGTTGCCCCTTTCGAAGGAAGGCATACCGCCCGGGCAGTCATAGGCGGTAAATTCGCAACTGTCCTTGTTTCTTTGTCTCTCTAAGAGATTCAAGAGGGATTCTCGAAAGAGATGGAAAGCTCTGATGTGGCTGCAAACTATTTGTTTGGAGAGGCCTCTTTCTAGAGAAGAATGCACGATTAGTAAGGAGATTAGTGAAAGTGTGAAGGTGGGGGAGGAATTAAAATACTGAAAGTGAAATTCCGGATGAGCTATTGAGAAACGTAAAAATGATAGAAAAAAATATAAAGTCTCAGTAGGTATATTGTAACCTGAAATGGAAGGGAATTATTATTATTGGTTTGTAACATGTTCAATTTCATATCAAGGCTGAAAGAAACATATTATTCATGTCCATTAAAAAAAGAATAGATCCGTGGAGAACATCACAATAGTATATTATGCAACGATCATGTAATGATGGTTATTAAGACACGAGCATTAACCGGGATACGAAACGAGCCGAAGGCGAGTTTTGTATGGTATATGCGAGTGTATTAATAACCATTACATGAGAGTTGCATACGCTATTTTTTCTAAACCCGATAAATAATGAAAAACTATAAATATTATATTTGTATTGAACACATTTACAGTAATTAACTCATATTTTTTTAAAAAAACACAAACTTAATGGTATTATCACGGATATATGAAAACTATAAAGATTCTAATTATATTTATATTGATTATAACAACTGTAATTAATCTGATCTTTTAAAAATATTGGAGTCGATGGTATTCCTTCTATATCGCTGTTTTCAGACATTTTGATAATATAGGTAGGTAATATGAAAACTGATTTTGACAAATAAAGCAATTAGTTACTTAGGTTAGAATCTAGGACAAACAAAGGAACAGGATTCTTGATTGAAAAATTATGGGTTTCTATTGGTTGATAATCTGTATCGTTATGAAAAATCTGTATCATAATGGATATCATTATGAAACGGATTATGGTCATATAAGTGTATTGTTAGAGTACGGGTGTAGAAAAATATTTTTATATGGACTGCATATTCACCTTATGTAATGTTAAATAGTGAGTACGACACCATTTACAAATTTATTATATTATAGCTTCAGAACAATGGTCAGTGCTGCTCAACAAATGTTGAAATCACATTTAGTTTAGGAGTAATTAAGGTAGAAGTTTAAATTATATATTACAAGTAATTGTTCCAGGTGATAAACAATGTGAAATGTGTGGAGTAACTAAAAATATTTGTGTTTAATAATAAAAATGTTTTTCTCAAAATAAAAAAAACCTCCTCGGCGGGGAATCGAACCCCGGTCTCCCGCGTGACAGGCGGGGATACTGACCACTATACTACCGGGGACTTACATATTTCTAGTAAATTACATGTATTGAAAGAATATGTTATCAATATTCATTATCAACATATTGATATTTTTGGGGATTCACACCCTCCACATCATGAAAAATTCTATTCAGGTGTAGAAAACACAAACATTAACTCAAATAACTATGGACCATATGACATCTTTTTTTTCAAATGTGATAACTATAGAAAAGTGCTTTTAGTTATAGAATTAAAAAAATGCCCGATTATTCTCCACTATTTTCGTTGGACTTTACGTTTGTGAAATGAAATGTCTCTTAGTAATCCTTCCCAGTTAACACAGGACATTCTACGGATATCCGTTTCATGTCCATTTCAGGTTCGGGATATCTTTACATTGAAAAGTATAGCCTATGGATGTATCTTATGGATATCCATAGGATATACGAGAAGTAGGTAAATGGAACAACTAAAGTTCTACCTACTCAAAATTGCATTTTGTGAATGAATATCATAAAAATAGATCATTCAAAACATGTTGCTTATTTTAATGACTATTTCACATTCTTCTCGGCTAATATTTATCAAAAATGGATTCTTGATCAAATTGAGAACATACCTACCTATGTGATAAATTTTTCACATATACCCACTCCATTATTCCCTAGCATGTATTAGGTTTTGTTCTGTACTTTCTTTTCTCATTTTCATCCATATTGTTAGTACACTTCATATATAAGTATATACAGGGTGTCCCAAAATTTAGTTAACAAACTATATCTTTGGTATTGGTGGAGCTGGAAAAATGAAACAAAGGTGGTTTCGAAAGACTTCTGGATGCCTTTCTGAGATGGTGTTTGAAATCATTACAACCATTGTTATTTTTCTAAGTGTCACATGTCATTGTTCATACAGAATGCCCTAGAATTTAGTTTCCAATCTCAAAACGTGCCCGACATCAGGCATCAACCAGGAGAGAAGAAATTTAAAAAAATGTTCTGGCATGTATTGAACTGAAGCCACATGTTTCAGTTCTAGTATTCTCAAAAGCACTTGAAGTTAGTAAGAATATCGTTTAGCGAATTAAAAAACAACTAGGTATCGAGTGATTTCATTTGGTGCAAGTCTGTCAGGCGAGTTAACTAAATTCTGCAGTATCATGTATGGAAAATGATGTGACAGTATTTACAGTACAATGGAAACTTAAACAAAGTAGATTTATGCTGGGGGTGCTGTTTGAAAAACATTTTTTTGAAATTGCCATGACAGCATCATCTCAGAATGGCATTCTGAAGTCTATCAAAACCGCCTTCGTTTCATTTTTCTAGGTTCAAAACTAACGAAGATATCGCTTGTTGAATACATTCTGGGACACCCTGTTTATTTTCAATATTATCTGGTATGCAGTGTTCATGAAAGAAATATAAGGAAAAATCGAAGATTTGCAATTATCTCTTTGAAACTGGTCTGAATACATACCAAAATGTGAGACAACTATTGAATCTTTCACATCCTCACAACCAGGTTGGTCTTGACCCCCATTCGGAAAGAAATCCACATGTCCAATTGGTTCCCACAAGCCGAAACCGTCAGTGACAAACTATATACAGAAAAAGTATTTATGAACATTGATAAATGTAGGATTGTAATTTTTTTTTTCATGATTTTGGACATTGATGACGTTTGAAGAACTTGATTTTCAATTTCTTCATTTCAGACCAATATTTTTTCAACACAATAGTGTTCACTAATTAAAGCTTTGGTAATGTATCAGCAAGAACATTTTGTGCATTTTATTGAGAATAAAACTCAATTTGTAACAGATCCATAAATGTTTGTGCTAATACAACCCTTCATAGCCACTTTATTGTCTACAAGGTTCATTCTACAACCTAGTCATGCATGAAAAAATATAATTTCATGGACTTACTGGACTAGAATCGGTGTGGATAACATCAACAAACTTGGCATCGCTTCTATCCAGCTTTTTGTATTTTTCCCTTAGATATTCATTCCTAAATAAGGGACTTGCTGCATCAAGTCCTGAAGAAAAAGTCTGATGTTAAGGAATTGCATATTTTTTATCAGAAAAATGTGGCACAGGCTGAATTCGAAAATAATCCTGAACAAAACCAAAAGGAATTGGGCTTCGAGCAAAAGAAAATGAATCTGTACATACCCTGAAGTTTTTAGTGAATTCTGTATTTCAAAACACCAAATTAGAATAGGTACTTTGCTCTCTATGTGGAAGAAGACAAGAGACGTAGAGAATTAGTACCATTATAAAAAATCACTGTATTTTTATGCACAGCTTGCAAAAAGCAATTGAATTTTCATTTTTTGTACTGAACGAAAAATAAAGATTATATTTTGAAATTTTCCTTGAATTTTGCTTTGCTTTACTTGGCTAGTAAATTTTTCCATAGCGACTCAGGTGCACGAAATAATGTAATCAATGATTGTGAGAAAGCTATCTTCTTTGGTCTGCAGGTTAGTATGCTTGAAATTTCATCTACTACTGCGGTAGACATCTACTACATTACTAGAAGTAGTAGAGGAAACATCAGGCATGGAACTTGCCAGCCAGGAATATTATTTGACATCCAGGACATTCGGTACTTAACATTCAGGACATCCAGGACTTTCAGCATTCAGGATTTTGAATCAAAGACATTCAAGGCTTCCTGCAATATAACCTGACATCCAGGATTTTCAGTGATGTAACTTGACATTCAGGAATCTAACTTGATATACAGGACATCCAGGAATGTAACTCAACATCCAGGTCTTCCAGTAGTGTAACTTGACATCCAGCAATGTAATTTGACATCCAGGGCAATCGGTACTTGACATCCAGGACTTCCAGCATTCAGGATTTTACATCAAAGAAATTCAAGGCTTCCAGCAATATAACCTGACATTCAGGATTTTCAGTGATGTAACTTGACATTCAGGAATCTAACTTGATATACAGGACATCAAGGAATGTAACTCAACATCCAGGTCTTCCAGTAGTGTAACTTGACATCCAGCAATGTAATTTGACATCCAGGGCAATCGGTACTTGACATCCAGGACTTCCAGCATTCAGGATTTTACATCAAAGAAATTCAAGGCTTCCAGAAATATAACCTCACATCCAGGATTTCCAGTGATGTAACTTGACATTCAGGAATGTAATTCGACATCCAGGAATGTAATTTGACACCCTGGATTGTAATTTGACATCCATGACACTCAGTACTTGACATCCAGGACATTCGGTACTTGGCATCCCGGACTTCCAGCATTTAGGACTTTACATGCAGGACATTCAAGGCTTCCAGCAATGTAATCTGACCTCCAGGATTTCCTGTGATGTAACTTAGCATTCAGGAATCTAACTTGATATACAGGACATCCAGAAGTGTAAGTCACGATGTAACTTAACATCTAGGGCTTCCGATAATGTAGCTTGATATCCAGAAATGTGATTTGACATCCAGGACCATCGATACTTGAGATCTAGGACATTAGAAACTTCCAGTAATGTGACTTGACTTCCAGTAATGTGACTTGACATCCAGGATTTTCGGTAATGAAACTTGACTCAACTACTGCGGTAGATATCTTCTACATTACTAGAAGTACTAGACGAAACGTCAAACCTGTAGACTACGACCAAAAAACCTGGAAAATAACTTTCACACACTTATCTCCGGCGATCAAATTTCGTTTCAACAGTCTTATACTTCAAAGTTCCGCATCTAGTTAAGTTACTTGGGCGACTGAACTAGCCATTTCATACCAAACAATTATCCTCTGCTGACATCAACATTCAACACTGAAATGAAAGAAAGGTAGATTTGGAACTTTCGGCGTGTAACAAATCCAATGAAAGAAGGAAAAATTAAACTTGTGGCGCCTAATCAACATACAATTTTTCTCAAGACTTCTTTCAACTTGTACGGGAGGAAAAAAAAAACGTGAACATAGATCCCTTCCGAAACACGAAAACAAAAGTGGTATCTTACCAGTTATTCGTCCTATTAGGTATCCCTTCGCCTTCAAACTTTCTGATGCCGTACCACAAACATGAGCTCCTAGCGAAAACCCTATCAGATGAATTTTTCTGGCGTCCAGTCCTTTCTCTACCATCTGGACGAGCAGGATACCCAGTTGTCTTCCGACCAATTCGGTATTGGCTGCTGCTGTAGGATATTGTGGTCCCCTCGCTCCAATGTGCCAGTCCAATAGGATCACGTTACAGTCATACTGAAATCAATGATGATAATAAGTGCAAAATTCGTGTATCGAATCCTTTATCGACCGGATATTCACCCCGAAATTTTATCGAAAGTCACAAGACCACAAATTTCGATTTCTGTGTGTTAACTCAGATTTCTGGAGGTTGAGTTACATTCCTGAGTGAACTGGATGTCAAGTTAGATCCCTGGACGCCAATTTACATTACTGGAAATCTTGAATGGCAACATACATTACTGGAAGTCCTGGATGTCAAGTACCGAATGTCCTGGATGTCAAGTTACATTACTGGAAGTTGGACGTCAAGTAACATTCCTGAATGTCAATAACTGATGTCAGGATGTCAAGTTACATTGCTGAAAGCCTTAATATAAAGTCCTGTAATGTAATGTAAAGTCCTGAATGTCCTGGATGTTAAGTTACATTACTGAAAAACCTAGATGTCAAGTTACATTCCTGGATGTCAAGTCACATTACTGGAAGTTCTGGATGTCCTGAATGGCAAGTATATTAATGAAAGTCCTGGATGTGAAGTACCGAATGTCCTGGACGCAAGTTACATTCCTAAATGTCAATTACTTGAAATCCTGGATGTCAAATCACATTCCTGGATGTCAAGTTATAATCCTGGATGTCCTGTATATTGAGTTGAATTCCTGGGTGTCAAGTTACATTGCTGGAAGCCTTAATATACTGGATGTAAAGTCCTGAATGACAAGTTACCTTACTGGAAATCCTAGATGTCAAGTTACATTCCTGGATATCAAGTCACGTTACTAGAAGTTCTGGATGTCCTGAATGGCAAGTTGTATTATTGAAAGTCCTGGATGTGAAGTAACAAAAGTCCTATATGTCAAGTTACATTACTGGAAGTCCTGGGCGTCAATAACTGGAAAACCTGGATGTCAAATCACATTCCTGGATGTCAAGTTGTATTCCTGGATGTCCTGTATATTGAGTTGATTTCCTAGACGTCAAGTTACATTGCTGAAAGCCTTAATATACTACTGGATGTAAAGTCCTGAATGTCATGGATGTCAAGTTACATTACTGGAAATCCTAGATGTCAAGTTACATTCCTGGGTGTCAAGTCACATTACTGAAGTTCTGGATGTCCTGAATGGCATGTTATATTACTGGAAGTCCTGGACGTCAAGTAACATACCTGAATGTCAATAACTGAAAATCCTGGATGTCAAATCACATTCCTGCATGTCAAGTTATATTCCTGGATGTCCTGTATATTGAGTTAAATTCCTGGACGTCAAATTACATTACTGGACGTCAAGTTACATTGCTAGAAGCCTTAATATACTGGATGTAAAGTCCTGAATGTCCTGGATGTCAAGTTACGTTACTGGAAATCCTAGATGTCAAGTTGCATTCCTGGATGTCAAGTCACATTACTGGAAGTTCTGGATGTCAAGTACCGATTGTCCTTTAGCTCGCGTCGAAAAACTTCATTTTTACGAATAAAGCCCATATTTCGGGCTCGTTGAATACAATACTATTATTAATGACACAAAGATGTAAATTTCATGGCCATATATGTAAAATTCTGTTAGCAGCTTTTCAATTCTTATTATAAATATACCCCATCGGACTACTTAAAATCACTCAATGAATACAGAAGGCGTCCCTGAACTCTATGGCGAACATAATATTAGGAACACATTATGTGAAAGTATAATTTGGTATTTAATGCCACGTAACTTTCGCAAATATTTTTACGTAATAATTTCTTGATCATGAAAAGAGATGTGGCGAGTAAGTGATGTAATATCTTTTGGGATTAACTATATTATTCAAAATTGTTATTTCTTTAACTCAGGCAACAACTTTTATCGACCATTAACTAATTACATTTTCTGTAAAATATTTTCGTTACTAATCTGTAAGTCCCCGGTAGTATAGTGGTCAGTATCCCCGCCTGTCACGCGGGAGACCGGGGTTCGATTCCCCGCCGAGGAGATTTTTTTTTAATTTCGGGTAGGATTTCAATAATCTCGCATTAATGATTTTTTAAATTTTGAGGTCAAAAATGTTTGATATGACTAAAAACTTGTATTTGTCTAACGATGTATGATTCATATTTGTCCAAGTGAGAGAATACGAACTGATTTGAAAATGTTTCAAATATTTTGTTACATACATCAGTGAATGATTACAAAAATCATATTTTCTTCTCTGAATTCAAATTTTCAAACCCAGTTATTTTTTCTTAATATATCTCCAAGACTAAATATTCTTCCGTAGACTGAGGAAAACGGACAAAACTTTTTTGAAACAACCGTTAATATTTCACCCACCAATTTCAAATAGGCGTTTGCCATGATGATGGATCCTTTTTCGTTCCATCTGCTCATATATCCATGGGCAATCAGCTTCAGGGGTTTAGTGAAGTCCATCGTCGATTCGTTTAAAGATTTTCCATTGTCATCATAGCGCAGAATTTCCGGTTTGGTAATGTCCACCATGCGCCTAGTGAAGAGGTGGAATTTGGTATCCAGAACTTGGGGGTCCTCTGGCACTTTTTGGAGAGGGGAGTTCTTGTGCGGGAGGTTGAAGCAGCCCACGATGTCTGAAAATTATTGATAATGATAATAATAATGATCTTTACTAGCATTTGATCTTGTTAACAAGAGATTGACGTCACATAAAAAGACAATTTAGGAAAACAGTCAGTTGAAATTTTAAAAAAAGGGGTTGGTTGGGTAACAAAAACAATTCTTTATTAAAAAAACAATTGTTTTCTTGCCAACGTTTCGAATTTAATTAAATTCTTCTTCAGGGCTCGAAAAGTAGTTTTTTCGTGTTGATGATGATACTATTTTGAAAACCATCAGACATATTAGAGACGTATTTAAAAAATAATAATAAAAAACATTGCAAAATCAAATTTTCGAGACAACACCAACACAAAACGACATGTCGTTTTGTGTTGGTGTTGTCTCGACAAAGGTTAAAGTCAAGCTGACGGAGAATAATTCCATTAAAATCAAAAGATACATAGTAAGTACCATTCTGATCATTCCATATTGATTTGAATTTATTAGCCACCGGTAGACAGCTGTTTCAGCCTATTGTGCATCGTCAGTACCGGGCAGGCGGTCCTCGATTGAAGACAACAGCGGCGGCTCGTCAGAGGAGGCAAGGGAGGCTTAGCCTGCCCATAAAATTTGAGGCTATTCATCGCAATAAATTTGAAGATATTTACGAATGATTATGATTATTTTTTTGTAAAAATGCTTGGGAATCATTACTTTACCGTTAATTTTCAATAAAAATACATAATATGCCCGAAAAAAACACTATCACTCAATACGTAGTACGTACCACACTGTATCCTGCATCAACAAAACCCAGACGCACCGCCCATAAACGAATAACGAATAAACCATCAACCCGAAATGATAAATGCCATACGTTGCAAGGGAGCCAAGCCTCCGACCGCTTTAAAAAACACAAGCTTCGCGAGACCGATCCAACCAGCGACATACGTCCCGATTTGTAATTTCAGTTGCAGAAATTATAGCGTAAGAGGAGGCTAGCCTCCAGTTGGTCTCCGTTAGTGTACGACTGTGTTTGTTTTTTATTTAATTATTCGGATCGCAATCGTAGCAAAAAATTTCATATATACGGAGGTATGCGGAAATTTGATTGTTAACTATCAAATTGTCACAGATAATGTTGCAAACCTACTGGATAATATTTCGTATATTCACAGGCTTCTGTATATGGGCACTGATATTATCAGATATAGTTTTGTTATACACAATTCCATCGATAATTTGGGTTAAGGTCACAAAATTCATTTGAAAACATACTTTAACGGATATTGAGTGTTTACCCATCAATAAAATAACCATGAAACTAACATATTTCAGGCGGGTACTGTTAACAGTCAAATCTCTTGGCGTAATGTTAGTTTGCATGAGAATTATCATCATTGAGTTCACAGAGACTGGATTGGCCAATATGCAGGTAATAATACATACATTATCGTTGCCTAATTCAAGGTTTACCTAATATTTATGATATTAAGGTCGACTTATTAATATCCCTCATGTGAAATAGAAAATTATATCTTTGAAAAAACACCATGCGATATATTCCTCTCGGAATTACAAAACTTTCCTGAAATACAGGGTGTTCCATTTGAAAAATCTGAGTTTTGACCCGTTTTTATATCTTCAGAATTAGTCATCGATTCAGAACACTTTGTATAATAATTTGGAAATGTTATTTCTACCCCACGATGAAATGAAGTATATTGATGAATCGATAATGACTTATTTATGTAATTTATCAACAGCAACAAATTAATATCTCGATGACGAATAGTTTTTGGTACATGGTGTACAACATAAACTGACATTTGAGTGACGCTAGCTATAAAAATGTGGCAATATACAGGGGGTTACTTTTGAATTGACGAAGTTGGTATCAACTTTCGGTATCAGCAGACATCTTGAGACTATGTTATTTTGGGATGGTACAGTCTACTCTACAATATGGCGTGATATTCTGGGGGTCGTCTTGTCACTTTGAAAGGGCATTTGTATCTCAAAAAAGGATAATAAGAACGATTTGTCATGCTCATCCAACCACAACATGTAAACCTTTATTCAAGAATCTCCAAATACTAACCCTTCCATGTTTATATATTCTTGAACTGATTATGTACATAAAACGTAACCAAAAAGAAATAATGAGGAATGAAGACACTCATATGTATAATACTAGGAATAAAGAAAAACTTCGACAACCCTATTCAAGGTTATCAGTCTGTGAAAATTCACCAAGGCATATTGGTATCAAGTGTTTCAATAAAATAAGAGATTTGATAGATGTGAATCTGAATGACATTCTATTCAAAAATAAATTGAAAAACTTTCTTCTTGAAAAAGTATTTTATAATGTTGAAGACTTTTATAATTCGTGATGTCTCATAATTGTAAGACTGACTATTGTATGTACAATTTATCTGGTTTGTTTCCGATTAACAACTTATTTGTAGATTACCTTCTTTTCTTTCTTGACTAGTCTGATAAGTGTTATGTATGTGTATGTATAATGCCTTGTATAACCTTTGATTGATGAATAAATTCTATTATTATTATTATAACCGTTATATTCATTCGATTAAGCATATTTTCAGGATATGAGTCGTATCATTTCTCAAAATAGTGTTAACCAACTGTCATCGCGGTGTACCCTGTATATATTCTGCTATCAGAATCTTCTTTTGAACGCTTTTCGAATACATATAAACCTTAACACTTTCCTCGTTAGCTATAATAATTTATTTGCAGAAAATAAACAAAATAAATACCAACGTTCTTAACCTAATTTCTTTAAAGTTCAAGTCGAAGTGATTGTGTACGGGTATACAAGGACTTATGTAAGTGATTGGATGAAGAAATTGTTCAATCATGAATTCAATTATCAGTTTTATCGAGATTCTCGCGTATTTGGTCACAGCTATTTAATTTGCTAGAAATCTTTCTGAAGTGGGTACACATAGATCGCTAATTTTTATGAGATGTTGCAAGGAAGTGGAGGTCATGAAAAGAATGGTAATATTACAACAATATTTCGTAACAAAATATATATTTTTGTCTTCTTACAATTCGAAATACCTTGGAATATTCAAAGGGCAAAATATTGTCATTTTTATGAATTTAAAAACTCATAAAACTCAAAATTCAAAAAACCTCAAACGCCACAATTTCTAATTATTTTTTCAATCTCAACCTGGTCGAGAATAATTATCTCCTTAGCCAGTGAAATCATAAATTACTTCAAGTAGAGTTCTTCCTTCATTTAAGGCACATAATCGTTTCCAATATCAGCCGAGAGGATTCCGATACAAAAGTATGTTGGACAAGCTGACCGAACTATAATAACACGTTTTTAAGAACACATTTCACACATTCAGTTTCATAGACTGGAGAATTCTAGTGTCGCTCAACATGTCATAGACAAGGACCATAGAGAAAGTGTGAAATGTTTGAAACTGATGAGAACGGTACATGACAACCGGCTTTAAGACGCCTTTGGAAGTTCAGAAGTTTAGTAATTGAAGAATATGAACAGCGTTGTTCACTCTCTTGCATAATAATTAGAAATTTGAACCAGGCAAATATTAGGTAGAGTCGAAATAACCTGTATTGTGAATAGTTAAAGCTATCGGCATCTCAAAGACCAAAAAACTAATACAGAGAAATAATGCCGCTGCCAATTAGTTCACGTGGACTGAAGAATTGGCGGTTCGTATTGGATAATTTTTACTAACCGAGTTTTATGAATGGCTGAAGAGTCATAAAATTAAATTTGGTCATGTTACGGTGGCAAATAGAAATCGGGAATGCGGGGATGGTTATCGCCGTTGTATTTAGTTCAGGAACTGATCGCGATTTGAGTGTTGAAATTAGATATTGGTGCAGTTATAATCACTCAAAATTTTTGTTATCTGTTAAAAATGTGGCGTCCTTGGACAAGTACTAATAGTAATAACGAGTGTGATAACAACGCAAACTTTTTCCTGTGTAGTGATTCCAATAGCGATGGTGAACAATGCGAAAAAGAGATACCAGTGAATGGGATTCGGATGTATTTGTATATTGAAACAGATAGAGTATGTTTCAATGTATATAAGAATCTACATCTCAAGTTTGGTTTCGAGGGAAACAAACTATTACAAGCAACATCAGATTTGACCGAAACTCCTTTCTTCACTGTAAGAAAAAAAGACAAAAACAAACCTTATGAACGCAAGACACGATGTGATACGGGATTACCAAAACCTTTAGATGTTCATCTAATAAAATCATTGAAAAAAACAATATACGACTGTTACAAAATGATATTCCTACAACTGAAATCGTAAGGAAGAAATAGAAAACTTCCGACCATAACGTTAGCTGATGTGACAAAACTCTTCAGAATTGGATAAAGAAACTAGGATTTAGATTTGAAATAATAAACAAACGTCAAGCACTTATGGAAAGCAGAAGAATAATGGAATTGCGTAACAAATACTTAGAAGAAGAAATAACTAAATATAGACAAGAACAACGGCAAATTTTCATTTTGAACGAAACTTGGTATGATGGTATGGTAAGAAACTATTGTATGGCGAAACACGTGTTGCGTTTTTGTAAATCTCACAATAAAGTGTTTCTTAAGTTATTCACACTCATTTCAGTTTTATTATTGGAAAATGACAAATGAATTAATTAGGTAGGTATGTCTCTCTAGGTTTCTTCTGGTTCTCAGTTTTTACTGTTTCGAATCGTCCAAAATCAATGACTCAGTTGTGGACTGAAAGGGTTTACGCAACAACATCTTCAATATTCAGTTAGGCGACCGTTTTCTGACTGTTACGAATAGTTCGGACAGAGAACCAGGACAGGTCTTCTATATTCCTTGAATTGCTGCTACTTACCGTAACAAACCGACTGAGTAGTCCGCTCCCTGTACTGCGTAATCCTCTCTTGGATCCTGTTCTTCAGTCCTAGCGCTGTTTTCAGATTCAGCCTCGGGGGAAACCTCCCTGGCCTCCTGTTCCCATGCATCTGACCCCCATCGAACTGCGCGCATACCCCTAGAAACAACACGAAGTTGCGAACCAACATTACCTCGCGTACCGCGTCGTACTGCCTGTTGATTGCTGATGGATCGCAATATCGTTGCGGAACCGTGGTTCTTCAAATCGGCGGAAAAAGAGACTCCCTTCCACTTTCACTTTCTTGGGAAAGTGCAACCGAAGCAACGGAGTGGTAAAACAGATGAAGATCGGGCGACAGTGTTGCCGCAGTGGTACGATTGCTTAGGTGGTACTTTTCTGTTATTGAAAGTACGGTGGTGCTCTTTTCGAAAATTCACTCCAAATGTGGTACTTTCTGACATATCAATTTGAAATATGGAATGTATAATGTTAGAGTTCTTTGCAAAACAAAAAATACATAGAAGGAATAACAAAAAGGCATTCATAAGACACCTTGTGGTGATCCAAGAAGTACCTGGCTCAACACAGAAAACACAACTTTATACAGTGTGTCAATTTTAAAATTTACAATGGACTATATCTCACGAACGAAAGCTGATATCGAAAAATGCTTGAAACCGTTTCTAGGATAGTAAGGGGGAACTAAAGTGACATGAAAGAGAATTCACCCCCATCAACCCCCTAGGCACCACCCACCAAAACTCAAAAAGTTCAAATTGCAAACCCCTACTTGTGATACATCATTTAAAAGGCTATAAAAAATGCTATCCAATGGTATAAATAATAATTGTACATGGTGAAGCAGTAATTGTGAAATTTGGCTTAAATGGAATATTTAATGAGGTTTTTGTTGAACTACAAATTTATTAAAAATGTCTATTAAGTAAATGTTCAAATGTTCAATCATATTAGGAAACGCTTGTTGAAGTTTCAGAAAATCACCTACGTTTTTGCTACCTCTTGATCATTTACTACAAAATATATTGCCTATCAAATTGTAATATTTTGAAGAAAAGAGTAGTCAAGTTTCTTTCGCTGTTTCAGATTTCTGAAGCCCATATTAGATTCGATGAAACTCTTATCCATTCTCCATGATAGTGCAGTTGTAATATTCATTATATGAAATGTGGTACTCTTCATCTTGATTTGTAGTATTGAACATTTTCTCAGTGCGGCAACACTGCCGAGCGGTGATGTATCCATTTTGCGGTGTTGTGCGTTGAAGCGGTACTTTTTTTTGCAGTGTTGATTGATTGCTCAGTACATTAAGGTATTGACATGGTTATTGTTTTATTTGTTTGTGAATAATCGAAAGTCTTGTTGGCGAATGTAATATCAATGAAAATTTCTCTCCCCACTCGTTTCCCATGTAGTATTTTTCATTCATATATTGAACAGAAACAGCTGAAACTATGAACATATGTTCCAGACGAGTTCGAAAACATAAAAAAAATTAAAAAATCGCTAATCGGAAGTACGTAGTCTACAAAATATGAACATTCATCTTATTTTTTGGACGTAGGAAAAAAAGCAACAAAGAATATTGCTCAACTGAATGATTTATTCGTTATTTTGTAAGTACATATTAGGAGGGTCTAGCCATTTGAAAAGCTATCTTAAATACTGATAATTTATAGTTAATTTTTAACATCTATATTTTTTATATTTTTTAAAATATTCTCACAAAATTTTACATTCGTAACACAGGCGTAACTTAAACGATAAAAATTGTACTCTAACATTCCTTTATACGTATTTATTGTCTAATAATGATGTGAAATTATGGAAATCGAGTCAAAATGGCAAACGAGAGATTACAAAGGGGTGTGAAACAACATTGTCTGAGAGTTCAAATATTGAACGTCTTTAATTTTTGCTACTTGATTTGAATGTACCTACGAGTAAAGTTTCAAAACTTTTATTTTTCAATTGATATATCGTATTTCATTTCCACAACTACACCTTACTTATTCACCTTCATTTATTTTTGTATATATCACGTATTTCATTTCTAAAGTTCGTTAAACTTTTCGTATGAAATTCATAAGGATTCAAACTGAGACAGCGAAAACACTGTTTATCTCATCAACTATCAAAGAGTTTTAAAAAAGTGGAAATAATAATTAAATTTGTAAGGATCCTGAAGAGTTTAACGAGTTATTTGGTGTTTATTTTTGAACAACGACTAAAAAATTGGATTTAAAGTTATTTGACCAGCGAGATTGAAACCGTCTGATTGAAAGTGTCATCATCAGCATCATTTGTGAAAACTAGTGGCAAAAATGTTGAAAAAAATTGTGAACAATACATACCAAAACTTGTGTACTAATGTGTGGTTTATCTTCCACACAAATTATAAAATTGAAAAAAAATACTAAATGATGGACTCTGAATCGAAAAATGAAATGAATTGCAGATGAAAATCAAACGTTGACGATATCAATTAAAAACTATTGTAGGTATCTCTTTTATAAACAAGTTAATTACAGACTTTATATTATGAACAATTTTTGGAAGTTTTGGGACACCTTGTATGATGAATTTCATCAGTTCGAACTTCCATTGCCTACTATAATTCCACTATGATTCAAAATCTATGAAAGAACAAATAAAATCAGAATGAATAGCTAAAACATCAATTATATTAAGCAATAAAACCTGAAATGAAAATATAATACATCAAATAAAATAAACATTTATTTTATTATTTGTATTGTATTTTCATTTCAGGTTTTATTGCATAATATAATTGATATTTCTCAGCTATTCATTATAATTTCATTTGTTCTTTCATAGATTTCGAATCCAAATAGAATCATACTAGACTAGACTAGATACAGATACAGATGAGGAATACAAAATTAGTCACTGAAATGTTTATCTTTCTATCTTTGTTTGCCATTTTGTGTTTTCAGTGAGATGTGATGAACACGTTGAACAACTTTGGCTGAAGCACAAGAAAGCTCACGAGCGACAAACTTTTTTTCCGAATGGGTCACATTGGAATTGTAATGACTGGTGATAAAATTTTGTGACAATATTGGAGAAAAATATATGTATACATAACAATTCGATAGTCTATTGGGAAAGGAAAGGCTACGATTCGTAAATTTTTGAGAATATCATAGTTGGGATTGATATAACGAGTATTTTTCTGTGATTATTGAGGAACAACATTGAAATGAATTCGAATTTTCGTGAAAAATTTCACTTTCACTCCTTTCATAATTTTTTTTATTTTTTTAAAGAAAATTCGAATTCACTTCAATGTTGTTCCTCAATAATCACAGAAAAATACTCGCAGTAGAAGTAGAAATAATTTTAAGCCATAGTAAACGTTGGAAGTTGATTACTCCAAAAATCTGATTGATTACCAGACGGTTGCTATTGATTATAATATATTCCTACACATATGAGAATGGATGTAAATTTGTATATTTTTCTACAAAAAAAGGAAAATGAAAAGCTACTAACTTCATTCAAACTAAAACAATTCGATAGAGAAATTAGGAAAATCTGTGGATCACGATGGAAAAAAATTGAATACGCTGAAATAATAAAGGTTTCGAATATCCTTCAATCAATTTCCTTACCAACGTTTTGAATTTACTCAAATTCTCCTTCAGTATCATAAATAAAACCTTTCACTAGTTCGGACTTCCAAAGAAAGCGGGGATAAGTGAAAGTACTCGAACGAGGAGGAATCAGTCATCACCCGAAGACGATTGTAGATACTAACAATCGAAACGTCGTGAACTAACGTGACTTGGAATCTCTCCACTTTTTATTTTTATTTTCTTTTTTCATTTCTTTATTTTTATTTATTCAATTGTTCTATTTTTACTTGTATTTTATTTCACTATTATTTCATTTCAGGTTTATTTTGATTAATATAATTGTTATTTTCAGCCATTCATACTCAATTCTTTTTTTTTTAGTTCTTTAAGGGATTTCAAATCATTTTATATAGTAGACAATGGAAGTCCGAACTAGTGAAATTCATCATGAAACATTATCAATCACCTTCAAACATAAATAAAGCCATTCGTTTGTTTCAATACTTTGTGTAATGTTGTTTTTGTCCAGAATATTTCATTATTTTAGTGTTTCTTATTCTCATTAAGTATGTAATATGTCTGGTTTTTTAAAAAGGTTATAGTTTCAATACGAAGAAATCACTTTTCGAGCCTCGAGGAGAATTTATCTGGATTCAAAACGTTAGCAAGAAAACAATTGTTTTTTTTAAGTAAAATTGATTCTTTCTATTGTCTGATATGATATAAATTGATTTGAAGATCCCTGAAAGGAACTATAAAAATTAAAAATATTAGCTAAAAAATAACAATTATATTGAGCAAAAAAACTGAAATTACACAATGAAGTAAAATACAAGCAACAACTAAAAATTGAACTATTAACAAGCAATGAAAATAAAAAATTATTTACAAGAAATGAAAATTAAAAATTGGAAGATTCCAACCCAAGTTAATTCACGACGTTTTGATTGTTAGTATCCACAAACATCTCCGGGTGATGACTGGGATACTGGGAACGATTGTGGATGAAGTAACCAGCCTTAACATCTTTTTTTGATTTTAATTTCTTGTTAATAATTCATTTCTTGTTAATAGTTCAATTTCTAATTGTTGCTTGTATTTTATTTCATTCTAATTTCAGTTTCTTCTTAATATAATTGTTATTTTTTAGCTAATCTTTTTAATTTTTATGGTTCCTTTTGAAAATATTATTAACACGTGTTTCTCAAGTGTTAATAATCGCTTGAGATAGTTATTGTATAGCAAAACACGTGTCTCGGTGTTTGTAAAACCCTTTATAATGAAAACCATACAATAAACTGTATTAATGAGTTTCTTTTATTCAATATTTTCAATCACTTTCAATAGGAGGTTTTGGAGTAGTATATATACACTTGAAAAACAAGTTGTTGGAGTGATTTCTCGAAAATTTACGAATGGTTTTCCCGACTAGGAAGGGTAATAAATGGTCGAAGGTTTTATATAATTATTGTACACACTTTAGCTGTCATGTATAGGAAAGTATAAATTCTATAATGATATGTGCATACAACATACATACGCCTTTTTGATGATTTAATATTCGTTCGGATATACGAGAATGACCCAGAGAAGATTACAGAGGGTGTTCCTTAAACACT